TGAATTATCCCTCTGCCCACCCTATCCTCACCAAATAATGTTAGTCCCTTTGTAGCTATCGCAGTCATCAGACAGAAAAAAACAGTATACATAGGGTTCAGCATGGTCTGCAGGTTCAGGCATCCACTAAGGGGTCTTGAAACATATCCCCCAGCCAGGCTCGGTGGCTCAGCCTATAATCCCGCGCTTTGGGAGGCTGAGGTGAGTGGACTGCCTGAGCCCGCGGGTTCGAGATCCGCCTGGGCAACTTGGCAAGACCTCATCTCTACAATAAATCAAAAACTAGCCGGGCATGGTAGCGCGCACCTGTAGTTCCAGCTACTCGGAAGGCTGAGGCGGAAGGATCGCCGGAGCCCCGCAGGTCGAGGCTGCCGTGGCCGGGAGCGGCCACTGCACTCCAGTCTGGGCGGCAGAGTGAGAATCCAACTCAAAAAAAAAAAAAAAAAAAATACCCCTCAACGATAAGAGGGAACTGATGTTACAAAAAAGAGCCAACAGTATAAAATCCCCACGTACCTGGTACCTAGCTTCAACAATTATCACTCATATCTAATTCCATTTCATCAACACCTCCATCCTCTTCACATACCCACCACAGATTATTCCGTTGAAAAATGTAAGCCAGGCACAGGGGCGCATGCCTGTAATTCCAGCAATTTGGGATTACAAAAGGACTACCTGAAACCCAAGAGTTCAAGACCGGCCTGTACAACTTGGTGAGACCTCATCTGTTGGGAGCCGGCCACGGAGGCCCACTGAGCGTTAGGGATCAGGGAGGGCCGTGGACCCCGAGACCGCTAGGACGTGTTCGGGAGCCGTAGACCCCATTTTCCTCCCCCTTTTGCCATGCAGCACAAACAACCTAAAGGAACTCTGCTGGCCTAAGCTGAAGGCTCTGTGACTGTGACAGGCATGGATCACTCTAGAAACCCATTGTTCCTGTTTCCCGTAAACTGTGGTTTCGGCTTAGGTATTAGATATAATTCCAACTCAGGTCACATTTGGGAGCCTTTTACACGGTACAAGCCTCTTTATAAGATTTTAAAGTATATTTGTAGAATTAGCATATACTTATGGAGAGCTGTTTTCAGCTTTTCAATGGTATAGATGATTATCAAGAGTGGCCCAGCACAGAGTTTGGGCTGGGTCACATTCCTGAGAGCCCAGCGCGGACTTTGGACTGGGCTGCATTCTTTTAGGCTGGCTTTAGCTACAGTTAATGTAAGGTCTTTTTTCTACCTATTACAGAAATTGAATTTATTTTATTCATAGAAGGTATTGTAGAATAGGTCATACTACATCAAGGAATCATGTTAGTTCAAGCATAATCAATCATGATATTTTTAGGTTTAATAAGAATATAGTTAACTTTAGAAATTTCATTGTCTCCACTTTCTACTATCAAAGTTTTGGCCTTAGTACATTTACAGTTTACATTTAGGTTTTAGAAGCTTTGCTGCTGCTAATCAGCTTTATATATTAGAATTAAGAATTGGAAAACTTTCATAGAAATTAGGATAGATGTATAGGACTTTAGAATAGCCATTTTGTTAAGAGATGTAGTCTATTGTTCCAAAAGATGGCCCACCGTGGACCCTGGCCTGGGCCACATCCTGTAGGGCCCAGTGTGATCTTTGGACTGGGCCACATTCTTTAGGAAATTGGCTTAAGCTATAATTAAGAGCTTCCGTAGCATTGTGTAAGTAGTAAAGTTTAAGATAGTCATCATGAGTTTTGTGTGAGCTCTAGAAGTTATTGATTATCAGAGCACCATTAGGCTAGTAAGGATTGTTACACTGCTTTTGAAGAGCATTAACTAGCAAAGGGAACAATGAGACAATCTTGGGGTTTGTTCCTCCTCACACCTAAGCATGTGGTGGGTGGGGGATGCCCCCCACCCCCGCACCTGGCTTTGTGTTCACGTGAAAGACTTGTGAGACTGCCTGTGTAAAATTTGGGGATAAATACCTGCTGTAACTTTCAATAAACGGCTTCTGCTCATTTCACTGAACAGTTGTTCACTTTCTTTCTTTCTCTTTCTTCCTCTTTATATCTATCCTTCCATCTTTTTTTCTTTTAATATCTATCCCTACAGATTCGCCGATGCCACCACATCTTCCAAGGGACTCCCCAAAACTTGCAGGGGCTGGCCCCCCGCACTCATCTCTACAATAAATAAAAAAATTAGCCGGGCATGGTGACACGTGCCTGTAGTTCCAGCTACTTGGGAGGCTGAGGCAGAAGATCACCTGAGCCACTGCACTCTAGCCTGGGCGAGAGAGTGAGTGCCAACTCAAAAAGAAGAAAGAAGGAGAAAGAAGGAGGGGGAGAGGGTTGGCGGGGAAGGGGCCGAGGGGGGTGGGAGGGGGCAAGAAGGGAAGGGGGAGAGACCATCTGCTGTGTGGCCAGCATTAAATGCACTTGCAACTTACAGTGAGTTTAACAGGATGCAGTCCTACTATAAGTTGTGGAGCATCTGTAGTCTGCTAAAAAGCAGACATCATGGAAATAACTGCATAACGTATACAGGCACAAGTGATAATCACTTCATTCTGTGCTAAAAAAGAAATGAGTGCCCTGTACTTTTTATATCCCAAAGCACACCCAGCACATACCCCTTTCTGACTAGACAAGGAGAAGTTTAAATTTAACATTTCAACACAGTAACTTCACATTTCTAGTAGAATAAGTTTCCCTTTTGACAATTATTTCTTTTTTATCATTCTTATTTGATTTTTAATGTTTCTCTTTTATATGGATTTTTGGTATATGTTAACTCAAATCCTTTTCATAAATAGCACAGTACCAGGAGGTACATTTGAAAAAAAGAGCTTCTGAATTGTGAAAGCCTCAACATTTTTAGATGGACTGATTAATTTCTTTCTAAATGAGATCAAAAGAAGAGCAGTCAGAATCTAGCAACCTCACAAATCCATAAAGGGAGGCCAACATTCGCTCCCAGGGTCCGGGTGAAGACACCTTCGGGCTCTGGACACTCCCAGAGAGCACCTCACCACAGAGCCACGAGGGTCTCTCTGTCCCAACTCTCTCATTCTTCCCCGAAGCTGCAAGAACGACTTGGCCTGTATTGTCTGAGTGTAAGAAGCCACTGGCCATGGGTGTTCCTTCCTTCCATGAGGACTGCCTACTTTCCTCCGGCCTTATTAAGGGTCTAAGCCTTATTCTTCCACCTCCTCTGCTTGTAACAAAGCTGATGTTTCACCCTCTGGCTATCTGACCCCAGTCTCTCTCCATTTGCTAAGAACTTGAGCAGCAAAAAACAAGTACAGTTTAATGACCTTCTAAAAACTCAACATGACTTTTTTATCAAGCAAATATTAGATACCAGGCACTGTGCCAAGCACTTTACAAGTATTACTTCATATAATTTTCTAAACCACCCCAAAAGGTCCCAAGGTCACATAGCTCAAAAGAGGGTAGAATCAATACTGAAAATAAAACTAAATCTCTCTACAAAGTAGATTCTTATAAAATAAACTCATTTAAAAAGTAAACTAGCTGGGTGCAGTGGTTCAAACCTGTAATCCCAGCACTTTGAGAGGTGAAGGTGAGAGGAATGCCTGAGTCCAGGGATTCAAGACCAACCTCTGCAACTTGGCAAGACCTCATCTCTATAATCAATCAAAAAATTAGCCAGACGTGGTGGCAGGCGCCTATAGTTCCAGCTACATGGAAGGCTGAGGCTGAAGAATCACCTGAGCCCAACAGGTCGAGACTGTGATAGCCATGAGTGTGTCACTACACTCCATTCTGCGAGACAGAGTAAGACTCTGACTCGAAAATAAAAATAAAAAGCAAACTGAATCAAGAGGTTCTTTTTTGGTGAATTTCCTTAACGGTTAACAAAACTATGATATATGCCAAGTCAATTAATGCTACCCTCTCCTATTTTTTCTTAAGGTCTAATTAGCCTCATTAAGTTAATCACTCCCTCCTTTAAACTTTTCTTCTTGGTTTCCAATACCCTGTGGACCTGAGCCTGGTTTTCCGCCCCCCTCTGGCTCCTCCTTCACTGATCCGTCTTTTTCCCTTTCATCTCTAAGTTGGAAGGACCACAGGTCCAACCTCAATACCCCTTCATCTCCATTCTCCTTCTAAGCATCTCCTCCACTCTTATCCAATCACAGCTTAAAATGCCACCTTCATGTGGAGCATTCTCACTTGACGCCTCCCTCATGCAGCCGCTGAACGACTTGACATCTGTAAGCTGGCAGACTGCTCAAACGTGGCCAAAAGAAAATGTCTGGTCTTTCTGCACTCATTTCCAAATGATGCCACCTCAGCTTCCCAACACCAGTAGACGGCACCAGCACTGGGTTAGTCTCAAGGAAAACGGATTCCTCTTTTCCTCCACCTCCACTCCCTCCAGTCTTATTGTTCTGCCTTCAAACAACTCAAGACAAACCAGCATCAACTCACCAGTTGAAGACAAGAAAAGCCTCATGACTGGCTGTTTCCCCCTTTTTCCTGTCACAATCTGTCCTCCACAGCCCAGCCAGGGAGGTTCCGCCACCTGGACCTTGCCTCTGCCCAGGGAACCACCAGCTCTTTTCAGCCTAAAGCCTTCCGTGTCCACTGCCTCTCTACATGAAAAATGCTGCCACTAAACCTTGAGACGGCAGGGCTCTTCACAGAATTCCAGTCGTAAGGCCTCAGTGTTGCCTCAGCAGAAAGGTCTTCCCACTACCATACCTAAAGTGGATGCCCTTCCCCACAACCAATTACTTTCGACCCATCGAAAACCACAATGAAGAAACCTGCCCTTGGTTTAAATTGCCCCTTCTTTTCATAAAGGCAGCCAACAGTGTCCGGTATAAGTTAAGGGCTTCAATTAAAAAAATTAAAAAGTTGAACATATTCACTAAATATCGTGTTGCATAATGGTTTAATTCATCTTAATTACACAGTCTTAAATCCCAAGAATATGAGCTGAACACCAAAAATCACAACGGAGTCAGGAAGCATGAAGAGCCACTTACGGAGTCCCACAGAGTCTGGTTTGCCATTATCATTCTTACTCGGCTGCACAAGTGGAGCAAATGAAACAGCAAGAATATTTTTACTTTCCCAAGTGTTCTGTCCAGTTCGCATAATCTGTGTTAACTGTTTAGAGGGAACAAAAGAAAAAGAACAGCTTAATCCCAGCAATGTGACCAAAATTTTGTTTTAAGGGGATAATTGCCAGTAAGCGATAAGTAAGCCGCTTTCATTTAAATGCAACCAAATTACTCCCACTTCAATATTCACTACAAAATAACACAGAAAGAATGAAAATCTTTTGCTGTTAAGAAAGATATTTCGATGCAAGTGGGATACCCAAATCTGGTCAAGTGAGCCTGCAAGTTGTATCTCTGGTCTGACAGTTTCTAGGCATATCACGAAAATCGGTATGTGCTACAGGCTCAGTAATTTAGTTGAAGCATCAAACCATATTTTGATTACGGTATCAATGAGTTGACTTTATGTTCTGCCATAATGGTAGTGAAATATAGGTTCTAGTTCTAACCCTTACATGATGTTTCGCAAATAAATGTAATTCCAAAGGAACTAGTTGTTTTACCAACTCAGCAAACACGCATCACTAGTCATGGGAAGTAAACATCAGTTCAAGGCATGGCTTGTTCAAGTTGAATTAGTAACTTCGACTTCAACTATGAAAAGCAGCCCATTATTGTATTGATATTTGTATAATAGTATAAAATAGTTAACAAAATACTGATGAGGAAGTCATGTTTTACACATTTGAAAATGTATTTTTTTTTTTAGTTGCTTTTGTTTTTTGTCGGGTTTTTTTTTTTTTGAGTTGGAGTCTCACTCTCTGTCACCCAGGCTGGAGGGCAGTGGCTCACTCACAGCCACCACATCCTCGACCTGCTGGGCTCAGGTAATCCTTCCGCCTCAGTCTTCCAAAAACGTGCACCATCATGCCCAGCTAATTATTCTTGATTTATTGTAGAGATGAGGTCTCGCCAAGTGGCCCAGGCTGGTCTCGAACCCATGGGCTCAGGCAATTCTCTCAACTCGGCCTCCCAAAGTGCTGGGATTATAGGCGTGAGCCACCGCGCCTGGCCCTAAAGAAATACAATTTTCAATATTCACATTATACACTGCAGTTTATATAGTAGCTGTAAATTATCAGACTGGGACCTAGCATGACAGTTATGGAGTTTACATATCTTGGGGGTACTTTAACATCACGGTGTGTCATTTGCAGCTTAGTGGAGCTCACCATTACCATGTACTGTGCTCTGTAGCAAATTGTTTGTCAGTTATTATAAAAGCAGAATATATTAAAATATTCATTAAAAAAAAGTTCCTGGAGCTGGGCTCGGTGGCTCAGCCTGTAATCCCACGCCTTTGGGAGGCTGAGGTGAGTGGATTGCCTGAGCCCGCGGGTTCGAGACCCGCCTGGGCAGCAAGACCTCATCTCTACAATAAATAAAAAATCAGCCGTGCGTGGTAGTGCACGCCTGTAATTCCGGCTACTTGGAAGGCTAAGGCGGAAGGATCGCCGGAGCCCAGCAGGTCGAGGCTGCGGTGGCCAGGAGCGGCCACTGCACTCCAGTCTGGGCGACAGAGTGAGACTCCAACTCAAAAAAAAAAAAAAAGGTTCCTGGAAAAATGTTGCTTGAATGCTTTCAAAGTTTAGTTTTCCAGTTAAACAATCTTTTTCTGTTTTCCTTTAACAATACATTTTCGGGCTGGGCACGGTGGTTCACGCCTATAATCCCAGCACTCGGGTGGCCAAGGTGAGAGGATTGCTAAACAAGGTGAGAGGATTGCCTTAGCCCAGGGGTTCAAGACCAGCTTGGGCAGCTTGGCGAGACCTCATCTCTACAATAAATTAAAAAATTAGGTGGGCACGGTGTTGTGTCCTATAGTTCCAGCCACTTGGCAGGCTGAGGCAGAAGAATCGCCTGAGCCCAGCAGGTTGAGGCTGCGGTAGCCAGGAGCAGCGTGCCACTGCAATCCAGCCTGGGTGACAGAGAGAGACTCTAATTTTTTTAAAAAATTGTATTTCTTTAAAATGCATTTTCATGAATTTTTAAAAGTAATTTGCTTCTGAAAGGTCCACTCATTTTCTGAATAAATTAGTACTTCATACGTTATACTAGTAATTCCAAACCAAAGCAAAAATAAATAAATAAATGTAATAATACTCATAAATAGCTGGAGAATATCTGGGGATTTTTTTGGATTTTTTCTTTTTTTTTCTTAGTTGGAATCTCACTCTGTCACCCAAGTTGGAGTACAGTGGCATGATCATGGCCACTGCAGACTCCAGCTGCTGGGCTCAAGGGATCCTTCCGCCTCATCCTTCCAAGCAGATGGAACCACAGGCGCGCACCACTACACCCAGCTAATTTTTTAATTTATTGTAGAGATAAGATCTCGCCAAGTTGCCCACCTGGTCTTGAACCCCTGGGTTCAGGCAATCTGCTAGCCTCAGACTCCCAGAGTGCTGGGATTACAGGCATGAGCCACCGCACCCAGCTGAAGAATATTCTTAGTTGAGTCTACATAGTACTAAATGAAGAATTTTTTTTTTTTTTTTGAGTTGGAGTCTCACTCTGTTGCCCAGGCTGGAGTGCAGTGGCATGGTCACGGCTACCACAGTCTCAACATGCTGGGCTCAGGCGATCCTTCCAAATAGCTGGAAATACAGGCACAAGAGCACGCCCAGCTAAATTTTTGATTTATTGTTGAGACAAGGTCTTGCCAAGTTGCCCAAGCCAGTCTCAAGCTCTTGAGCTCAGGCAATCCTCTCGCATCAACCTCCCTAAAATTACTGGGATTACAGTTGTGAGCCATGGTGCCTGGCCCTACACGAAGATTTTTAAATTACTTGTTTTATTAATGAAGTTAAGCAATTCAAACCAAAGCATAAACAAGACTTCTTTTCAGTAAGTTCACAGAACTGAATAACATTAGAAACTGAGCGGCAGGTAGAGACTGTCCCAGTGAGCTGAGCACCTTCCAGGGCAAGGAAACCAACGGACGAGGCCGACTGCTGGCCGCCACACACAGGGAGGAGCTTGAGCCCAGCAAAGGCCCAAGTCTCTCTAACCACAGGAAAAGGGTCTTTTCTATACCACGTTGCTTAAATAATGTTGCTTCAAGTTTTGTCTATATAGACAGATAGATGTGTGAAGAGTATTTCTTTAAAAGCTACAATGTACCTTTCACCGAACAGCATTTTCCAAACTTAAGCAAATTTATCTGTGTCCCATGCCACCACACAAAAGGACAGTGGAAGTTACCTGATCCTCTATGGGCATAACTAGTATGCCTCCAACTTTTAGTAATATTTTCATGTAGTTTTCATGGTCTTTCTGAACTCCAGCACCACAGTAAATTCGATCATACTGATGACTGTCAGATGCTATCTGGAGGCAATTACCGACCACAAATGCAGGTTCACAGAACTCAAATCTGCAAGGAAAACCAAGTATGTTTTAATTCATTTAGGCAAAACAGTCAATCTAAAAAATGTACCGTAATCCAGTCCTTTGAAATAATAAAGTCACCAAAATTAATTATAAGGGCAAAATATGACTATAAACTTTATTTAAATTCACTATTAAGTTTAGCACTAATCAAATTATTACTTTATTACATAGCATACATGTTTTTAAACATTAGGTATTTTGGGCCACAATGAAGCTTCATTTAAGGCTTAAAAAATTAGCATAATGGGTCCGGCTTGGTGGCTTACCCTGTAATCCTATCACTTTGGGAGGCTAAGGCAAGTGGATTGCCTGAGCCCACGGGTTCAAGAACAGCCTGGGCAATTTGGCAAGGTCTCTACGATAAGTAAACAATTAGCCAGCTGTGATAGCACGTGCCAGCAGTTCTGGCTACTTGGAAGGCTGAGGCGGAAGGACCGCCGGAGTCCAGCAGGTCGAAGCTTGGGTGGCCGTGGACATGCCACTGCACTCAAGCCTGGGTGACAGAGTGAGACTCCATTCAAAAAAAAGAAAAAATTAATATAATGAAAAGCTCATCACAACCCCAATGCTGTGACTTCAGAATGGTACACGACAATGAGGAGAATCACAGGGTCAGGGAATGAGTAACGGCTTCACTCTCCACTGTCCTCTCCACAAAAAGGGTGAGGGGACAGCGGAAAGAAGGGCCGTGTAGTGCTCCTCTCAGTGTGACACCTTTGCTGAGGAGAGCAGTGGCAGAGCTATCCAAGAAAGAGACCAGCGTCCTGACCACATAGCCACTGAACCCCTAAGACCGGGAAGATTTTCCTAATAGATTCTGGCAGAGGAACATCACAGTACACAGCACAAAGAGCAGAACGAACCCCGTTTTCGCACACTGCTGCTTTAGCGTCCATGATCTCCCTAAGCAACAAAAGACATGGTTTCACAGCAAAGGTATTTTATCTGGGCTACCTGGTCTTAGTTACAGTGTTAGTTCTTGATAAAGTAATGTTTTTATAAGCTATTCTATTTAGACGTGTACTTTCTTATATTTTGATGCAACTGAAAACAGACTCCAATATAAAACTCATAACTAAAATCCCAATGAGCTAACAAAACAGGTAATCTTTGTTTAATTAATTCATATCCTTTTAAGTTGATTAAAGTGAATATGGATCATATAGCAAAAGCAGGCTCTTGTTTGAGGATGAAATCATTTACATCAAAAGCTTTGGCATGCAGTCAAACATGACACTGATTTGAACCACAATCATTTTTACTTTGCAGAACATATCCTGTGCTTTAGTAATTAATAGTAGGCTTATTACCCACCAAGTTGCCACTAAAAGTCACTGAAACATAGACATACTAGAAACATACATTTAAAGAAAAGTTTGCCAGAAATGATACCCTATCCTTAATTTCCTGCCTTTCTGGCGGGGGGTGGGGGTGAAAAGGGTTGAAAGGTTTGGGAAGCAGAGAGGACATACCCTGTGCTCTGGTCTCCGCACCCCACACTGAGGCAGTCTGTGTCCCATTGCTCTTCAGACTACCACTGCCACCTCAGTGTTCATATTTTCCAGGCCTCTCTTCCATCATTTTGCTTCCTCTGCACAGGGTGAGTTCAAGCTCCGGGGAGTGCCACGTGGGGTTCTTTATGACGCTAGCACCGAGGTCTCCTACCAGACTCATTTCCTGGCTCTGGTCCAGCCTGTACATTCTGTGCTGCAGGCGGGCTGACTGACTTGCCTCAGGTTCCTTAGGGGAAGCATCACAACGTGGCTCTGAAGCCCCGCCTCCGTGCATGTGCTGCTCTGTGGACTGCAACACCCTTCCCCTCTCTTTTCCCTTAATAAATGCCTGCCAAACCCTCAAAACACAGTGTAAATCTCAGCTTTGTAACGAAATCTTCAAAGATCTAAAAATTTTCATGCTTACAGAAATTCATTTTTAAATGCTTTAATTTCATAAAAATTTATATCAATCTGCAATTTTCCAGGATCAAGGTGAGCAGGGAATATAAATAATCAAAAAATTTTGATTAAACTTTTATCAAATCTGTTAAATCAACTCAAACACATGTTTATTGCTTTAAAAGCATCCTCCTAGTTAAAAATAAGCTTACAGAACTATTACCAAACAAAATACTATTATATGAGTAATGACAACTTAAAATTAAAACCACCTCTTAGAGATATTGCACACATTTTCATTATGGCAGAATAAATTAGGAAGAACTTAATGTCTGATTCTAAAACTAAATGTGTGACTCTGGACAAGTCGCCTCACGGCAGCAACTGCACATTTCCTTCAGTCAAATACTATTTACAAGCACCAGCTGCATGTGACGACTAGAACACAGTGGGAAACACTCATGCCTGTGTCCAGTGGAAGAGACATTCCGTGATCAGAAATGTCATGGACAACTGTGATAGACGTGCCAAAGGAAAGGAAGGTGACTCCTTAAGATGAAAGAAGAAAGGACGCTCACAGACCCAGGGGTCAGAGAGAGTCCCTGAGAGATGAAAAGCCGCGATCCAGAAGGCGAGACAGGACAACCCAGAGCCACGCTATCCAAGACGGCCACCATGAGCCACTGTGGCTACTGAGCCCTTAAAAACGTGGCTAGTCCACATTTAGCTGTATTGTGAGTATGAAATGCGTATAGGTTTTCAAAGACTGAATACACAAAAAAGTATAATATCTATAATTATTTTGTTTTGCAATAAAATATATGCACTTTTTGTTTTAACTGCCACATAAAAGAAAAATACTCAACTACCCTTTTACTTATTATAAGTATATAGTTGCTTCAAATACTTTCTCCTTAATCCAAGCCTCCCTTTAAAAAAGTTTTGTTTCGTTTTCCTGCTATCTCTTTGAATATTGCTTCTGAATTTAATTGCAATTCCATTACCCATTACAATCCTCAAAATTCATTTATTAAATAAGTGAAAAATACAAGAAACATAAATGGTTTGTCTTAACTTTTCTATCCACCAACTTTGAATAAGAACCCCAAAATGACTAGTGAACCACAAAAATCTCAGAGCTAAAAGAAAAATTTTCCTAAAAATAGCGTTATAGAAAAAGCACACGTCTATGGTGCATTTCTCTAGTAATATAATGGTTCGTGTTTTGCTAAATTGGCTATAAAATACATAATTGTCCTCCAACAAGCCAAAAAAAGGCAAAACTCAAATAGTAAAAACACAAAGAAAAGCCTTGCTTTTAATGAATAATCAACTCTCCTGTAACTGAAAGGCAGTCTGTTTTTTGTTTTGTTTTTTGCCGTACTGAAGATCTCAAATAAGTCACGCTTATTATTCTATTGCACAACTTTAATGTTTTCCCTATGATGCAAAGCAGAACATGTATGTCTATTTCTTTTTTAATTTTTAATTTTAAAGATGTGGGATTCAATTCAGGGTTAAGGATACAAATGTTCAGGAATCATTGTTGATGAGGTGTGACCCATATATCTACTTCTATCTAAAAATTACAAATTCTAATTGCAGAGAAAAATCAAATCTCTAAGTTGATAAACAATTTCCACTAATGCAAATGGAATTTATATTTCTAACAATTTCATAAAGGGTCTTTATGCTTTAACATATTTAAATTGATTTCATTTAACAGAATACTTAAATTGGAAAGTTTCCCTGAATTTTAGACAATATTCCAAAGGACTGTATAATTTCTAGGTTTAAAAATAGTAAGCCAGCCGGGCTCGGTGGCTCAGCCTGTAATCCCGCGCCTTTGGGAGGCTGAGGTGAGTGGATTGCCTGAGCCCATGGGTTCGAGACACGCCTGGGCCGGCGAGACCTCATCTCTACCATAAATCAAAAAAATGAGCCGGGCGTGGTAGTGCGCGCCTGTAGTTCCAGCTACTCAGAAGGCTGGGGTGGAAGGATCGCCGGAGCCCAGCAGGTCGAGGCTGCGGTGGCCGGGAGCGGCCACTGCACTCCAGTCTGGGAGACACAGTGAGACTCCAACTCAAAAACAAAATAATAGTAGGCCGAGGCCGGGCGCTATGGCTCACGCCTTTAATACTAGCACTTTGGGAAGCTGAGGTGAGATAATTGCCCGAACCCGCAGGTTCGAGACCAGCCTGGGCAAGTTGGTAAGACCTCATCTCTACAATAAATCAGAAATCAGCGGGACATGGTGGCATATGCCTGTAGTTCTAGCTACTTGAAAGGCTGAGGAGGAAGGATTGCCTGAGCCCAGCAGATCGAGGCCGTGGTGCCATGAGCGTGCCACTGCACTCCAGCCTGGGCAACAGAGCGAGACTCTGACTCAAAAAATAAAGAATAAAAATAGTAAAAAAATGAAGGACATAAATAAAATTGAGGGAAAAATGTAGTATTTTTAAATGTTGGCACTAAAACATCTAGAACATAGTAGAGAATCCATATGCCAAACACTTATATACTTGTAAGTATGACTTAACCTTTTCTACTTATAATACATGAAACTTCACAATCAATTAAAAGATAAAAAAGCTCTCAAATTGCATATTCTTACTTTTTTTTAATCTGTAAAGGGATTATGGATTAACTTTCCTATTAAAGTACTAAAAAATGATCAGCACTGGTATTTCTGATTGAGTGGACAGTTGAGAATCACAGACATTTTATATTCTGATGCTAAAATTATGGCTTATTTTTATACAGCATTTCATGTAAATAGATTTATACCAACCAGGTTACAGAATGACCAAAATTCCATTGTTAATAAATTTTCAAAAAGTCTACAATTAAAATTTTTCAGGTAAATGTTTACTGATATGCTCGTTTATTGTATGAACAACTGACTGATTCAAGACAGATGGTGGCTACCATGTTATCGAACAGAGTAAATTACAGCTCCTATTGATTCTTCCAAGGAGAGAAGAAAATAAAACATTTTTTTCCTTGATTGTCTTCCAAAAGCTGCAATCTTACCTAAGTTTCCACAAACCTATAGAGGTACAGGACATATTTTAAACCACAAACATAA